AGAAGTTTCGATTGATCCGAAGGACCGGTCTCCACGTCCCGCAGTGGATTCGAACCCGCGACGTGAGGATCAACTCCTTACTCCGCGACTCTAGAGCAGACGCTCTAGACACTATGCCATTCGTAAGATGACTAGAAGACATATCATATATAAAGGAGATGGGCGAACAAGGCGTGCAGAATGCCTATATAGCTTCAGATATATAAAAATCATAAAGGAGATGGGCGAACAAGGCGTGCAGAATGCCTATAGCTTCAGATATATAAAAATCATAATCAATTTGTGAATTTAGTATTTAGAGTCAAGTTCTCATTATTGAAATTTATGAAATTATGATGAACAAAACTTTTCTGCTGAAAATTTTCTCATTAAAAATTAATTTGTTATTAAAAAAATCAATGTGGTATTCTGGGTTTCGAACCCTAGTAATAAAATCCTGAGTAAGAGTTTCCTTTGAGACTAACACACTTACCACTAGGTCTTTATGAATTGTGGCAGTTAAATCATGTTTGTGATATGGTCCTTGACTAATTAGACAAGTAGTTCTCGGAAAGATGCGAGTGTTGTGTCATAAAAGTGTATTTTTACGGTATAGTGGGTCTTTGCTCCATGTTTTTGTTGACCAAAAAATGTATATTTTTTCACAAACTTTGAGGATAATTTTGAAAAAATATGGAGCGAAGACCCACTAGCTCATATAGAAAAATTGTGTTTTGGTATGAGAAAATGGTAGTTTTGCCCTCTCTAATGTGTATATGCTATTTCACAGGCAAATAATTTCAATCTTAGTGAGATTTTTGCAAATTGCCGAGATTTTACATAAAGTATACTTTAATTTAAGATGAAATATCAAAGAAAATTTTGTTATAATTGAGATTTAATTTTTCACCTTCATGTTTGTTGCAATATAGGCATTGCGTTCGCCTTGTTCGCCCAAAAGAGCAGCAAAATGTTTTAACTTTTGTCTAGATGTAGTGTTTGATTTTCAAATATGTAGAACTAAGAACCCTAGTGCAGTTGTCTTTAAGGCAAGTGTACTTGGAGAGATAGACAGAGAGACGGGGGGGGGGGGGGTAACTGAGTGTTATTCTCCAGTAGGTCCTTCTGCACTCGAGATTTCATGAAAAAAAGATTTCTTTTAATGGAACCACTGCGTGACTGAATATTAAGAGATAGTAGATAATTACGACTTACGTTTATTTTTAACACCTGTTTGTGGTTCCAGGTACAATTTTTTATGTTTGTAACCTGACTTACAGAATATCTTAAGTGAAAAAAGTACACAAAGAAGCATTAAGTCTTACCACATGACACTATACATATTTGACTTTGAGTGCAGTGTATGATATTCTAATTAATAATGATGGTACGTGAAAATTCATAGACTAAAGAGATGACAGCGCAAATCATACAGTTAGCCTAGAGCCCTCTCAGATTGCCAGAGAGAGAGAGAGAGAGAGAGAGAGAGAGAGAGAGAGAGATCGCTGGGTTATGTCACAGTGAAAATATGGCTATAATGTAAGTGTTAATGGTCAGATTATTTTTATCAATTTTATCAATCAACATGGCATAAGAAGACAGTTGGTGTTAAAAGAGGAGCATGACTTGAAATTTCCAATCGCCAATTATATTTTGTTGATGCACAAAATGAATACGGATGCTTTAGCTTAGCGATATCAATGAGTAAAAACAGGCACAAAGGCGTATATATCTTAGGTAAAAATGTACCAGAATCAATAGTGCTCAATACATGTACCTGGACCACGACATGGAAATTTGGGGGGGGGGGTCTGTTTAATTCGGGGGCCCTTGTCTCCCTAAATCTTTCCTCCGATTGGCTAGTTGACACAGTGAGAGTTGGATTTTGTCGTTATTGATTGATGACGAGAGCGATTAAACGGCCATGAACGATGACAACGATTTATTAGGACGCGTCACACGCTCGTCAAACAAGGATTGGTATGTCTTCTGTATTTACCTCGCTGATCTACTAGTTAAGCCACTGTTCTAACTTGAAAGTTTTCAATCCGCAAAAATTCATTCAGCAAAATTCACGCATCAGTCATGTGTGAAGTTTTACATATATTTACTTGGAATTCCTTACTTCTTCATAAATTTTGTACGCTTGGGCAACTTTGTGTGAATTTTTGCATAGAACTGATCTCATTAAAATATAAACATTTATCAATGGTAGATTTAAAGGTTTACTACCTTAAATTTGGACAAATCTTTTTTGTTCCAAAATAAATCAATATAAGTAATTCATTCTGATCCATTTAAAACTCATATATATCACTAAATTACAAGCCATCTCCCTTTCTCTTTCTATGTATACATCATTATTCCTCCATTTCGCTCAAGTTTTTGTCATCCAAATCTCTCACCCCCCCCTATCCCCCAACCTATCTCTCCAAGTGGAAATCCATGTTTATGCAGAATATAAGCCCGAATCACTGTTTCCATATAGGGAAAATACGTACAAGTCCACAAGGAATTTCCTTATCAACATCTTTTATTGCTCAATATTCAATATAAACTTCGAACTGGTTTCTTCAGCAAGGTGACAGTGGTAAAAAAGCTAGAACTGAAAAGGGGTGCATTAAAGATAATTTACTGAGAAACCGAGTAAAATATTGTTCCGTACCTGCGTGGCAATAACTGTGTATTGGGGATGCAACGAGCAAAAGCGACCGGAATTTGATACTAGCTAATTGTGTGGAATTCAAAAGTTGCCCGGGAAGATGCATGGCTGAGATAGAAGTCCGTTTTGTTAGCTCGTAAAGATTTACAAGATAATCGCTCCTTATACCCTGTAGATGAAAGAGATTCACCTTACTTAATTCATACCTCTGTAGAAGACAGAATCTTAAGACCTGAATTCTCGGGGCCTGAAACTTACATTTACAAAATATATGAAATATTTTTTTCACTAACCTAGGTTAATGACCTAAATATTTAATTTTCATTCGGGTTTTAAATAATTTCGGAATAAAAATCTAAACATAACGTGCTGTCTTGTGTCACATAATGGTGATGGATATTTACTACGTCTTGTCCGGTGTAAAAAATATGTACTCATACGCATAAAGTCCCCCCGATCCATTTATAACTGACGACATTCGATTTTTATGTGGTTTATATTTTTATTGACAAGGAGCGAAGATAAATGATTCTTGACACATTTGTCATTACGACGTATCCTTGAAACGTTCAAGCAAATGCGCTCCTTCAGTTTAGATATATTAAATGTACTCTTTCCGCCTTTAAATGCAGTTTGCTAAGTCCTGTCCCCGCCCTTCTAAACAAGATGTGACTTGGCATAGAGATTAGAAAGAAGACAAGCAGGAAACAATATGACCTATCTCAAGTATCTACTATAAGTTGTTTACAAAGCTCAGGTCTTCAACACTACCAGATAAAATCAGCTGATCGTGTAGAGGACCTAGAACTCTAGTAAAATACCGTCATAATGTGTCAACTGTCGCAGTGTGTTAAGGACAAGTGCAGTACAAGCTATATCTACTTTTGTGCATGTCCAAACCACCTGTGGAATTTTGTCTCGTGATAAAATGGGTGGATCTAGAATTTTATCCGTGTGAATTATAATGGTCCAATGTTTTTTTTGTAAATGTTTCCGTTTCTTCGTGGAAAACCTAATTTTGTTTCTCATGATATTTTATAAAAAAGTTTATGTAACTGAAATTATTTTTCAGCACTTGGATTACCAGTATATAAAAAGATTCCCAAGGCCAACACTGTTACACTACTTGTAAATGATATACCATCGTTATATGAGTAAGGCCATCATATACTAACTGACACCCAAAGCCATTGTCATAAGTGATTTTAAAAACCACCAATAGGAATTACTTATGGTTTTTATCGGTTACACTTATACACACACACTGATGACAAGCCCTGCCAAAAAACAATTTAGTAACTTCTGATAAACAGGTAGTAATAGATCACCTTAAACTGAAGCTACAAAAACAATAAAATCATGTACATCTAATCATCTCTAGTGCAACTTAGAGAAAACGGTATGAAACTGTCTCTGTACACAACTAGCTGATTTCCAAAGAATAATAAAAGTTCATATTATATACACCAAATATAGTCCATAATATAAAAAATACGACAGGGAAATGAACGTTAGGACCCTACCCTGATAATCCCAGGAAACATATGGGAGGGACACAAAGTTTATTTTTACAATCTGTTGTCATCACGAGGCACTCCCTTTAACACGAGTCACAATAGATAAAACTGAAGTTAAACCGCTGTACTTTATATAATCCTTCAATATTCTTCCTTTTTTTCCTTCCTTTCAAGGAAATTAATCACCCCAAACAGCTGAGATTTATTCTAAACATTTGCTGTGAACAAATTCCTAAATGTTGTACTGTGTACCTCTAATTTATACAAAACAAATAACATATTCTTTCTAGTACTTTAATAAAATATAAGCAAATAGGAATCTTTAGTGACCTATCAAATGAGATTTGTAAGGGTATCTAATTTCACACTTTAATTGTACTGTGTAGTGAGAAAAGGCAGTATTTTATTAGACTTGTTTGATCATTAAACTCCAGCTCAGCTGTTTACCTAGGTTATTATATCAGGTAGATGATACCTGTGTGTACCTATAAAACTAATGAACCATGACCGCTGTCTGCTATAATCCCCCTATAACTATCACTACTTATCCGTCAGTCGTCAGATCCCCGGGGAAACTCCCAGCACTTCTACAAAAGCCTCTCATTAATGTGTCATAAACCCGGACAGAATTAACACAAATAAAAACATCGTAGTTACACCATTCAAAATGAGTGTTTTTGTAAACTACTTCTGGTTTTTAAATACACACCTCCTCAAATTTTAGTCTTCCTGATGAATCATAAAAAAAATTCAACTTTTTCTTGTATTTCTAAATTATAACAATTTTTATAACAACAAAATATAATAATAAAATATGCATAAAACCAGTCTATCTGTTAAGATAACAGTATTTTACAATGCAAAAAACCTACTGGTCACTCTGTCTAAAGACATACACTGTACCAAGCCAAGGCTGACATACTAAATTGTTATAAGATCAGCAGAGCATGAAGTTCATCAGCCATCTGACCACAGGTCATCTGTCACGCCTCCAGCGAATAAGAAACTCTAAACATCGGACGTCAAGATGTACTGCTTCCTGGTCTGTGACTTTGTCCTTGACTTCAAAGGGAAGGTCATTTCCCCCTGGATTCCTTTAGACATAAAGAAAAATGGCATCTCTTAAAATCATGAAATCATGTGTTAATCAATCTTTACACTGGAATTTTTTTTGTCAAATTCACTTTTAACATGACACTTGTAGAAGTGCACCAATTTCTATTTTACAGTATAATTAATGAGGTTGAATAAAAAATCAAGAATACAAAATTTTACAAAAATTAAACAGTATTCTGCATTCATAGTTGTAATATTAGTCTTTTTACTTTATTCTTTATCACGAATTCATCACAACAGACTTCAAAGTATTCTCATACTATGATAAGGTCAATCTGTCTTTGGTCCAATATAACAGAAACTATTTACATGTAACATATTTAGTTAAATTTACATTCGAGACACAATCTTTTCATTAAATATCAAACCCAATGACTCAGGAATAAAATATATGAAAACAGGATTGAAGAAATACACAAATAAACAACAATCCCCAGACTCACTGCAATGCTGCCTTTTTACGTTTTATCAGACCCGCCATCTGAAAACTGTCAGTCTGTGTGTCAAGTTGTCTCCCCTTACACCACAACAATGCCCCTTCCTCCTGTCTCTCTAATCTCCACAACACAGCTGTGCAGTTGTACAAACTTGTCAAATGACCTTGAAATTGAGGAAAATATTTTCAATAGCTTTTACTCTTGAAGTTTTTTTTTTTCATAAACACTTTCCTCCAAATAATCCATATAAAAAAACATACATATTACGTAAATAACCTGTCAACAGAGATTTCATGCGAACAAAAATTAATGCTTCTACAGTTGTGCTCATATAAAATTCTTATATATGTGTGTCACAGAAAACTGTGAAATCTTACCCTTATCAAGTTGAAAACTGAGTCTGAGGTAGTGCAGGGCATCTGTGAGCTTGTTTTGTCGACCTAGGTTGGTTCCCAAGCAACAATAAACAAGAGATGCCTGCTGACGTACTTCTTCCCAAAATGAGGCTGTGTTTGTGGATGATGTTGGCTTGGCAGCACCATCAGAACTCAACCTTTGTCTTTTTGTTTCTTGTGATAATGACTGGGCTGACAATGGAGTCCCAAATGAACAGGAATTTCTGATTACTTCTAGGACACTGTCAAAGAAAGTAAAAGTGTGGATTATTCAAATCATATAAATTCTTGTTCAATGTAAGGAAATATTTATCAACAAACATACTCATATTCCCTCAATCTTACTGGAACAGTAAGCATTTATATTTATGAAGGCAAAATTCCTTAAATAAATGGAACAATAACATTTCAAATACTCTGTAATCATTTTACTGAATAAAAGAAAAACCATTAAGTATATTACTTACGTGTCTAGACTTTCAATGGCTTCCTCAATCTTGTTGAGATACACCTGAGCTTCTGCTTTGTAGAGGTGAACGAAGACCAGCTCTGTTTGACCTTCGGGGTCAAAGTCAGCTGCCTCCTGTGATGGTAACCTCTTCCTTTTACCTTTGGACCCTTCTGCCTCCTTCTCTTCAACAGAATTTTCCCTTATGACTGACTGTGAAAAGTTGTTCCCAAGGGCAAATGTCCCTGACCGACCTTGAGGTTGTGTGGAGGTCATTTGTGAATGAGAGAGTTCTTGTGATTGTTGTGACAGTATGTTTGAGAGGTCAAGGACACTTGAAGGCTGGCATGACAGTACATGTTTACACAAGATTTCACACTGCTGGTATTTTTTAGATTTCAGTAAAGAAAATACTGTGCACCTATAAATTTCAGATATTGAAGGAGCACTGGTGATCTCGCAGCCATTTACCTGAAAGATCAAGTTAAGAAATTGTAAACATAATAAAATATCAATCTTAAATCCCAGAAACTTTCAAACCTAAGTTATGGACAGTGGAATAAAAATAATATACTAATTCTATATTTTTTTATTTGTGTTAAATTGCTGATTTTTTGGCTTAGGTCCTTGTGTAACAAATGTAAAGAATAAGTCATCTAAAGAAAACAATTCTTAGAGAAAGAATGTATGAAGTGTATGTGAAGTAAAAAAATTCAACTCAAAGTGGCTCACTCTAAATCAATTACTTTCTTCTTGAAGGTAGTGCTTACCTTTAAGACTACATTGCCTTTGAGTAATGATATAAGATGAATGTATTTCTCTGATGCAATGTTATATCTGAAATAAAATTTCAAAAATTATAGAAATCAAGTTTACCCAAGGTATGAAATTTCAGAATTATATGTGAAAGAAAGTGAACAAGAGATGTTTGTGAAACACTTATGCCCAAACCCCCAAATAATTGGAATTTTTCCAAGTCCAAGGGGCATAACTCTGTCAAAAATTGCTCGATCGTACCCAAAACAGAACTTGACCTAGATATCTTTATGATAAATCTGTATACTAAATTTCATTTCAGTATGTGAAACCTCGTGAAGAAAATGAACGGAAACTGCAAATAATTGGAATTTTTCCAAGTCCAAGGGGCATAACTACATCAAAAATTGCTCGATCATACCCAAAACAGAACTTGACCTAGATTTTTATGATAAATCTGTATACTAAATTTCATTTCAGTATGTGCAACCTCTGTGAAGAAAATGAATGGAAACTGTTGGTGGACCGACAAACAGACTGACAGACAGCAGCAAAGCAATATGCCCTCCCTCCTTTGAAGGGGGACATAAATATTAAACAAACTTTTATTTTCTTTTTTTCAATTGAATACAGCTTGTATTTATACTTAAGTAAGAATTTATACTGAAAAATGTATTATAACTGAAAGCTGATCCCATCTATGATGTATTAATGCAGGACTGGCAGAGTTGTCTTACTTGTTATGGACTTCACATGCCTTGGCAAGATAATACAAGGATTGAATTAAGTTTATATCACTCTTCGTGACATTCTGGAAAAAGATGCTGTCTGGGGATTCCTTTTTTGTCTCCTTACTCTCCAAAGCCTATAAATAAATATTCTAAGCATATCATTTACTATAACAATTACAACTTCAAATTAAAGCTAGATTTGCATTAATGTTTTCAAACATGCATTTACACAAATACCTGTATTTTGTGGTAAACTCTTCTCCTTTTTAAAAAACAATTATCAAAATCTTAATAGGGTGTGGGGCTGTGTGTGGGGGGGTGGGGGGTGGGGTGTTAACCATTTTAAACAAGTTAGAGCAAGGCCAAAAGAAAAGCATGTCAACATTTCAATTTTTCACTATAATCATGATAATAATTAACTTCTTTTTATGAGACCGACCGTGACTAGCAAGTTTAATGACTCCAATTCTGCCTCCTCTAGACCCAGCTGTCTGTACTCTCTGGAGATGTTATACAGGGGCACCAGGTAGGAGAAATCCGAGTCTAATGCTTCCCTGAACTTTTGTATGGCACTGTGAGGCTTTTTCTGAAAACAAACTATGCAGGTAAAACATGACTGGAAACATTATACAGTTTCCCTGAATCTTGACAATGAAATTAAAAAGTTATTTCAAATATCTTCAGATATGGAAAACGGCCTTGCTGTCAAGCAGATAACAAATCTGAGTAAAATTTCAAATATTTTCTTTTCACTGTATTAGTGAGTTTGCATATTTCCATTGTAGAATTGGTTCCCAAATAATTTTTAGGTAGTTTAAAAGAGAAAATGATCATGAAAATATTCAAATTAAACTTTCTTAATTAATGTACACATGTAAAATAAAATAAACATAAAATTTGTTAAAATACATGTTTGCATACCAGTTTTGACAGACACAGTCCAAACAGATTACAGTGTAAAGCCATTAATCTCTTTGTCATCTCAAATGGCAGTCCAGCTGTCTTAGACAAAAGAACCATGGCCTCCAGGTAATGTCCAGCATCATATTCCAACTGTGCTGCAGAAAATCAGAGTTTGTTACTATGACATTGTGCTTCAAGCATTGTAAATAAATAAATTTCAAAACTCTTATAAAGTTCTGTGAATTCGTAAACAATGAAAAACAGTTAAAGTAGTCCAACTACTGTATTCTGTATATTCCTAAATATACATGTACATGTGAAATTTTTTATCGCATAATTTTGTGAGATGCACCACTCGCAAAATACAAATACATGCTTTGTTTTTCTAAAAATGTCTATACATGCATAAAATCTCTTCTTAAACTGTCTAGTTGCAATTTGATGTCTGGGAGTCATTTCGTGATATATTAAAGTACAGTGCTCGCGTAAAAATAAGGAATCTACAGTTAAGGGAAATTTTCGCCTTTTTTTGCCCTCGTCGCATGTGCCCTCGTCACATGTGGGCAATTTAAAATGAGAAGAATTCAAACACAGATCTTTAGAAAGAACTGTGTTTGGGTGAGTTTAAAACAGGATTGGATCATTTGCAGTCTTCGCCAAATCTTTTTTTCAGTGCATGCCCTTCGGGCAGGTTTAACCACTTATTATGCTAGCCCGAACAAATATTTACATGCCCAGAATTTTATCAAGTAATTTTATTTTTATTTTTGTGTACTTCTTTGCAAAAGAGTTCCTTGGAAATCATGGTAGAATAAACTATCGTTAAAATTTTATTTGGTGCTCAACTTTAGATGAAAAATAAGACTTTTAAGTACATTTTATGTTATTGGTATTATTTAATTTGATAATACGGAGGCTTAGGCCTCAGAATTTACATGCCCTTCGGGCTTGTAAGCATGCAATTTCCACATGCCCCCTTCCAATTTTACCAGGTCCTGGGCTTCAGACTCCCGGGATTTGTCGAAGACTGCATTTGCAAGTGAGATAAGGGAAAATAACATGGGGTGATAAAAATCCTGTATACAGTAAACATGGGGGTGATAAAAATCCTGTATACAGTAGTAGAGGTTTTGACATTCTTTTTTAAAAAGACATTTACACTGTTTGATTTACAGCACTCCTACCATATTTATTGAGATCATTAGATAAATTCATACTAAAATTTTATTCTGGTTTATCTTTTTTCCCTTGAATTTTTCTATTTTCTTTAATTTGATTTGAAACCTTTATCAATCAAGCATCGATCCTTATTTTTCATGACACAGTAAATTTTACCTTCCATAAGTTTTGTGTAGGGCTGCCAGGCTTGCTGCGTTATATTCTGTAGATGTTCCTTGCATGCTGAGGGCTCATCTGGATAGAGACTCAGTGCTGACAGGAGGTGCCAGGTCTCAAATGTCCCAGACTCGGAGGAACATGCCTCACCTCCTAGCAAAGACACCTCTATGGGGATTAACAGTGCAGGCAGGAAGGCCTCCTAAAACATTAGAGAGTAAAGAGTGCCTAAGATCTTTGTTACATTAGATCTACAAACTTTTGCATGAAGTAGCTTACATTTTTACCTTGACATATGGTAGAATGCAATACAAAATGTTTTCTTTTGCCTCATGCTAAGAGTGACACTTTGTCATTGGATAATGGACGTCATAAGCCCTCCTTAAATATTTCTTAGGATGACGCTTAGCAAAATTTGGAGAGCAACATTAGGAATAAATGATGTTATGTCATCCAAATTTACAGAAAAAAATCATGCTAGCAAAATGTTTGCTTTTAAAAGAAACCATGATATACTGATTTGGCAATGGTGCGAATAAATTTAGCGCAGTGCCCTTTTCAGTGATGTAATTAGTAAACAACAAGATGACAAGTTGCACAGATGAGAAAATCCTGTAATCGTTTTTGGTAGGATTGTTAACAGTTATTGGTCCTTGACAAAGCAAAATACTTATTTGGTTTGTTACTGACCGTCCACAGAAATATATCGGGTTGTACAAGTCCATAGAAGGCTTGAACAACCTGTCATATTTCTGTTGACAGTCAGAAACCAACCTAACAAGTAATAACGTATGGCAGTATGCCTCAAAGTCTGATTTCACAGGAATACATGTAGTACCTATCACCAATAGTTAAATAATATTTTGAACTTGTTTCTATATAGACTTGTCAAACTCCATTAGTACAAACCCTTATAACATCCTTTGTTTTCCTTCAGGTAGATTAAACTAAACTCATAATTTGATGAAGATCCATATAAATGTATAAATTCATAACAAACCTCATGCACAGGATTTTTCTGCGATTCCATTTTACAAAGAGACAAAAATTGTAGAGCTGTCTCTGGCTTCCTGTTCAGAAGAAGGACAGTAGCACATCTGGAACAAATTTCTACCAAACTCTGACATAATGGTCCTGAAATATATAAACTCATGTAGGAGGCTTTACATATCCAGTAACCAAGTCTGTGAATTTATTTCACAGTATGATATCTGTTCACATATTTAAATGCAAATTAGAAAAAATTGATGTACAAGCTTAAGACAGAAATAAAAAATGATACACAATGTATTTCTCCATTTACTGCTATCCATGTGTAATGGGAGAGAAGAAAAATGCAGCAGACCAAACCAGAATTCGAACCTGGGCCCCCTGAATCTCCAGTCAGGTGCTCTACCAACTGAGTTATCTGGCCACCGGTGATCGAACCCATCTGACCGCCACATTCCTCCCTCCTTAAAGGTCTTCAGCCCCCCAAAGACACCAACCCAGGCTCTTCCCAGGCAGATCTTTCACCTGTCACTTCCAGGGCATGGCACACACCAAATGAAATAGGGGAAGAGAAAAATGCAACGGATCAGACCGGGATTAGAACCCGGGTGGCCAGGTAGCTCAGTTGGTAGAGCACCTGACTGGAGAATCAGGAGGCCCAGGTTCGAATCCCAGTCTGGTCCGCTGTATTTTTCCCCTCTCTGTTACACATGTATACCACATCATTCTCACAGCAATTCTTTATGTAGTGAGCATTTGCTTAACCCCTTTTAACATGGAGTACAATTTTTCCTTACACATTTTTTGACATTCTTACCATTTATATGTATTACTGAACTTACTAAAAATGACAAGTAAGATTCTGGATTAATAGCTAATTCTGGTAAAGGGAAATATTTTTTTGCCTTGGGTTGTCCAAAACCAAGGCCAACACCTACACTTACACAGAAAAAACTTAGATGGCTTTGGCTTATACCTGACTTCTGCATGTAAGAGCCACAGTTAACATTCCTATGCTTCTTATATACCTTGGTGCCAAGTCAGAAGCATCTCGCCTAAAATCTCTAGCATGCTGGAGTAGTACCTAACTTACTTTGAAAATTAACAACAAATATTTTTGTAGTTCATACCACTCAAATCTGAATCCCAAATGTCTTTCAGCATACTGAATATGAGATCTTTCCTACTGAATTTTTTGTTGGTTGTTTGATGGCTTCTTCCTGAAATTATAAACCTTAAATCTGAGAACAGAAAAAATTTCTGCCAATTCTCTTAACTTTTAGAATGGAGAAATTTAACCAATATGCATTCCTTATTCCTTTAAAATAATTCTTTATACTTCTTCTTCCAGTTAAATTCCAGACTTTCTGCAGGGTGAATGACACCATCTCTAGACAATGATCAACAGGACAAAGGCCCTGAACAAGAAGACACACAGTTATATTGCACACAACACAGATTTCCACCACTAATGTTTCCTCTTTAGCTGGAATACCTAAATATACAATCATTATTAATGATACAGATGAAGAATTTTTGCAATTCTAATGAATTTTCATTTGAGAAAATCACAAGATTACATAGTCATGTACATAAATATAACAACAATAAATTCAACTGATTCAGTAAATACTGAAAAATACAGGATATAGAATTGAAATAAAAGGGGTGATATACAAGGAAATACAATACAAATTTATAGTATTTATTTGTAAACACTTGGAAGGTGAACCTTATCAAAGTATGAAATTAATAATTTTTAAAATTTTCTCTGTGAAATCAATAACTTACATCTTATTTTTTGTAGTAAGTGTGCAAATTCCTCTTCTACATTTTTAATTGTAGTAAATGTAGTATTTCCTGACAACAAATTCTGTCAAAAACAAATGATAAAATAAGACAAGAGGCCCAAGGGCCTTAACGGTCACCTGAGTATGATGCAACAATTTAAAGGATGCATAGAGTATATAATGAACTGAAAGGTGAAGTTTTGTTGCCCAAAAGCAAGAAAAATAGGGTGATCAGGATCAACAAATAATTAGTCTAGTATTCATTAACAATTTGTAAATTAGGTTCTAATCTGTTCCCCGTTTATCACTATCATCATACAGTATATTAACAAACTAATCAGTGCTTCTGTACTATTTTAATTCCTTGTTGAAATCTCTTACATTGGCCTCTCTTGGTCTTTGATGAACATTTAAAAAGACAAGTTATTTTTGTCTCATTTTTATTTATCTATTACTTACAAGTCTACCTGAACATTAAAACTATGAAAGTAC